GTCGATTTTGTCATACACAACAATTTCAAAAAGTTTGGCTATTGTTGGTATGATCACTACTGGCCTGTAGTTCGCTGCATTGCTCTTTTTACCAGCCTTGTAAATTGGCACAATTCTGGAATTTTTCAATGCTGCCGGAACACATCCTTGATGCATCGATTTACAGAATAGCGCTGTTAATGGTTTCGACAATGAGTGTGCGCAATTCTTTAACACTTTCGGCGATATTCCATCAGGACCGGCTCCTTTGTTCTCGTTGATGGATTGCAATGCATTCAACACATCGGCTTCAGTGATGTCAATGTCAAATGATACGTCTCCGCATTCATCCAGCAATTGATTCAAGTCGATAATGTCGCTTCGTGTGTACTGATTTTCGAAAAAATCAGCGAATAATTCTGCTTTCGATGTGTCTGTGTCTGCAGTCTCATTGTTGTATTCAACAGTGGCCGGAATATCACTTCTCTTTCTTCTGTCGTTTACAAATCGCCAAAAATGTTTCGGATTTAATCTGATTTGCGATTGTATGCGGCTAATGTACGACTGGAATAGTTGACTTTGCAACTGCAAAAACGAATCCGTGATGGTATTGTATTCGTCAAAATTGCCAGTCTCTCTTGCTCGTTTGTATGTTTTCCTCCTAACATTTTTCATGTGCTTCAGATGTTTCGTGTACCATGGTGGATCTGTGCTTTTTTGTACGGTGATTTTTGGAATAAATTGGCCTATTGCCTCGTGTAGAACATTGCCAAATAATTGGAATGCATTCTCGAGGTCATCAATTCGATTTATTCCCAACAAAACATCATTTGTAACGAAAAATTCGTTCATCGCATCGAAATCGGCCGAGTTGTATGCATATATTTCCGACGCCTGCGGGGTTGTGGGCTCATTTCCATCAATTGTCACTTCGACTTCAATTGCCTTGTGCCAGATGTCGGATTTTACCAATGGTCTTGTTGATTCAATCAACGACATCTCATAGAAATTGTTTGTGAAAACAAGATCCAAAACATTTCCGGCCGGATTAACAATATTTGACAGTTGGTGGAATCCACAGTCGAACATTGTGTCAAAAACAGCAATGCCACCTTCTGTCTAGGGGGGAGACACCAAGAATAAATTCCGAATCCACTATATAAATTACTAATCCAGCTATTCCACTAATCCAAAAACACAAATGTGAAATCGAAACTATTTTTCCTATTCCATGCACTGTTTTCGTCAAAAATGTTAATTCTGCTATTCCGCACTATTCCACTAATCCATCAATAAACGTCAAAAGAAATGTCAAATGGATTTGAAGTGAAACAATTTTTGCTATTCCATGCACTGTTTCGCTATTCCACGCGAATCCATTCACAGACGTTGCTAGTTCATTGCAATTTCTCGAATCTTTACACTAAAAGTCTAATCCTATTCCACGTGTCTGCCCCCTAGCCTTCTGTAGACACATTCATTGGCAGATAATAATTACCATCGTCTGCTCTGATCCATTTGACACCGGGCTGATTAAAATCGCCGCAGACAATCACAGTGTCATTCTCATCTCGAATCGAAAGCAATTTTGACACATATATGCTCCAGGCCACTATTCTCCGATAGTATCACTTTCTCACTGTTGAATTTGCATTCCACAGCGATCAAGACACCACCACCGTCGATTCTGTCGCTTGTGTGTTCCGACCGATCACCACGATACACGTTATATCGTTTCCCGAAATGCTCAATGTTTGTAATACTTTTTTGTAGCCAAGTTTCAAAGAAAGAGATTATCTGAAATGGACACGATTTCGTGGCTAATCGTATCTCATCGACTTTGTCTCGAATAGAATGTGTATTCTGAATATACACATTTAATTTGATTTGACTATTTTTGGCGAGGTTTTTGCTTGTTTTTGATGTGGTGTCAATTTTTGTTCTATTTCTCTTTCGGTGATGGTGATTTCGTTGTGCTCGATGTTTGTGCGAGTCCGTTCGGTGATTTCCCAGTAATGTTGGTCGTTGATCCGGTAAAATCCATTAAATCTGTTTCCGGTGGCTTGCTGATGTTTTTCGGATTTAATGCAGGGAAAAAATCACCTAAAGTTTTGTTCTGCAAGAACTCACGCACAAGAACATCTTCTTCCCACACTTCCGGATTGATCAAAATGTCAAAATCGTCCTCATTTAATTCGATTTTGAATGAAACGAACTTCAATGTAGTGACATCCTTGTCTCTTTTCACCAGTTTGTGCACATTGAATTTCGATTGTTCGTTTACCGATGTTTCATTCACAATGTAATCGATAATTTCTTCGGGTGTTGTCATTGGCTTGAAGCCAGATATCCAAATTGCCTTTTTGAACACCGGTTTTTCAATTCGTTTCGGCTTGACTACAACACTCAGACGATGTGATGCTGATTTTGTACCCATTTTTGGTTGTGGGGCTTCAAATTTCGAGGTTTTATTTTTCGGAATAATTTTCGGTGTAATTTTCGGTGAGTTCTCAATGCGCGGTCGTTTCGCCGAATCGGTTCGGGCGATAGATTTATGAGCCAAAAATTGTGTATCCTCGTGAATGTCGTTGGCTTTGCTAGTCAATTCCGAAATCATACCTGTTAAAATGTTCAATTTCGATAAAATCGAACCATCCATATCCGATGTTGCCTCGGCAAAACCAACATCAGTCAATTTTGTTTGACGCGATTTGGATGCACCACTCAGTGTTGACACCTTCTCCGTAATTTTCCTTTGAATCGGTTTGGATGGACCACTCGGTGTTGTCATTTTGTCGGTCAACCTCGATGCTCGAACTGCTTTTGATTCACCACTCGGTATATTCAGTTTCCCGCTTAAATCATCCAATGACAGCGGTTCACAACAAACAAACAGAGTGCACGGCAAAATCGCATACATAACCGCATTTTCTCCCAATTTTATTTGCACTGTTTCGAATTTTTCATTTACATTTTCGCATTTGTCAATGCCAAAACAACGCAAAAAACACAAATTTCCACATTTGGCACATTTTTCTTTCGGTCCGGACACATTTTTCGGTTCACAAGTGTCTCTATCACATTTATGCACCATTGTGCAATGCAATGTATCTGCACACCAAATGTTGAATGTTTGTTTAAATGTTTTCACACAAAATATCAAATAACGTCAATGCACTCGATTGTATTCTAATAAATAGTCACTTGATTAGTATCGATGAAAAAATGACGAATTTGAAAAATTGAAACATATTTTGTGACATCAAATCAAAACTAAATTACATACTCATTGGATTCATTGTCATCGCTTTGGTTCGTTGTATTGATTGTGATGTCATTTGTTTCGACATTTCCGAATTTATTGTTTTGAATTATTGATTGCAGTTCATTTTGAACTGCTTCAATAATTTTGTCACCAACGAATTTAGACAATTTGGATTTTTCATTGATATCTCGTTGTTTTTCATCATCGACGCATGCATTACAATTGTATATGAATGGTGAACAGCCTTCAAACAATGAATGTATGTTTACGCTTTTTTGGTCGCCTGTATATTTTATTTTTTTTTCTTCGTCAATTATTATTAGGCCTAAGCCCTTTAATAATTTTGTCGCATATGGTGAATTTATGCATTCGACAAAAACTTTTTGTTTGCATTTACTGCAAATCGAAAATTGGCCTTCAAATCGTGAGCCGGTACACCTTTTTTCACTGCAATTATGTGTATCGCACATGTCAAATAGCAACAACAAAACCAATCACCTTCAATCCAATTCAATTGTATTTTGTTCCTATTTATTTTATTTGTTTGTGTGCGAAGGCTCTGGACTCGGTTAACTTAAATTTACTTATTTAAAACTTGAAATCATGGGATTGAATGAGCAGCTGTTGAAATGGATCAGATATCAAATCTAGACCAATCGAAGCTACTTCTGGGACGGGTCAAGGATATCCCATTGGCGCTACTTTGCTCATCATGTTTGTAATTGATCTACCTTTCTTCGTGACCAATTCTAGCATACCTTCATTCGCTGATGATACAAAAATTTCAAAATGTATCACCTCAACAGATGACTGCATTAATCTTCAAAATGACTTGGATCGTGTAGCGGATTATTATAGATGCAATTTAGTAAAATTAAATGTAAACAAAACAAAGATCACTGCAATGTGAATACAAATACAACATAGGCGGCGTTCAAATTGAAAGAGTCTTTGTAATAAGGGACTTGGGAGTGTTGCTTGATGTGCAAATGAATTTCAAATCACACATTGAGCATGTCACGGCTAAAGCCAAATCAAGACTGGCTTGGTTAAAGTTCTACGGCAAGGATTTCGTAGACCCATGGACAATTAAACGCCTTTATTTTAGATTTGTAGTACCAATCATCGAATATGGATCGGAAATATGGAATCCACACTACGAAAATATTTGCAAAAGAATAGAGTCAATACAAGAAGAATGAACTGGGCTGGCTATACACTTCCAAAATATGAGCATAGATTGCTGTTTCTACAAATGATTACGCTGGAGGAAAGACGCAAGATGGCACAATAGTCTTTTATTTTCAAAATTATTCACGGAGATATGAAGTCAACTCATATATCAAACAGTTTAAATTATTATAATTCAGCGCATAATACCCGTGCAATACAGCTTTTTAATATTCCAGTTGGGGGAAGCGATTACACAAAATATGAACCAATTAATGAATGACAATTTTTACTTTATGCCCTAAGGAGAAAGCCCTGAATTGGGATGGCTATAGACTTCCAAAATATGTGCATAGACTGCTGTTTCTATAAATGATTACGCTTATGATTCTCAGTTTCAAAAAATTCGTTGCGTAAGTGGTTTTGGTCTGGAGTCGAACATTTTTGGGAGACCGTTTTTGAGTTTTTCATCAATCGGACATTTTTCTGGCCATCTGTAAGGTACAATAATGATTTATACGTCGTTGGAAGGGTAAAAGATTCACCTTTCCGGATCCGAAGTCAGAATGGAAAATTTTTCAAAAATGTCCGCCAAGCGGCGTGTTATGTGACATTTTCGGCGAAAAATTACCATGACATTTTTCACGTAATCCCAATTTAAAAAAAATTGCGTACATAGAAAAAATCAAAAAACTGGGCGCTTGTTCGGGACCAAATATGTGATGATTTGGCGTATGTGTCATATCTGGGAGAAAATCGAAGTAAATCGTCATTTATCTTGAAAAAATGTATGTCTTGCTTCGATTTTTTCCTCATAGATCGAAGGTGCACTCAATTTTGAAACGACAACATTCTTTTATTTGGTGAAAATTGGTAAAAGTGTGAACTTGGGCGGCCACCTATATTTTAATATCTTAGTAATCAACTGCTATTACATTGCTTTTTACTTTGTTTGTTCAGTTTGACAAATGATTTTACATAATTCGGACCTGAGGAATTCAATGGAGAGAGTTTACAGCTGTCAAAGCTACATTGTTTTTTTTTCACCGCTCTTGATAAAAATAGTATTTTAAATAATATTAACTGCACCGAACAGCGTTTCTTCGCCTTGGTGGTTTATTGAAAATAATTTAATTAAATAAATATAATATAATACAATTTGATTTTTATCAAGCATTTTTGAGAGAGAATATGAAAAATTATTGTTTCTTTCCTTTCATGTAAATAATAATCTTATCCGCGGAGACTATCAAACATGTAGTTATTTGTTGTTAAAATTTCATATTTCATACATCTAGACATTTTTGTGAAAATTCGAATTTTGATACATTTGGCCGATTTTTGGTGGAATAGCCATCCAAAACGGTCGATATTTTGTTCATTTTTGTTTTGCTAGTCACAGAGCATATTTACAAAGACATTGGAACACATTTTGGCTCATAAAATTCTTCAAATGTTAAAAGTAACATTTTTTGTCATTTTTGGCCATTTTTGCACTATCGAAGGCCATATCTTGAAAACAAGAATTTTCTGGGATATGAGCTATGCGGCATATTATAGCTTGGACTTGGGCCTAAAATCGGTGAAATTTTCAAAAAAATCCTTGAGCTTGTTTTCGAGGTAGTCCGGCCGAACGGTAACTTTTTGGTTTTTG